TTCTAAAATTATTTGTCATTAGGTATTCTTTGCAATCCTTTCATACTACTACATAAAAGATTGATTAAGGAATTGACGGCTTTGGGAAGCTGTGAGTTTTGAAGAAGAACTTGAGAAACCCATACTTATCAATACTCTCAGCAAGCCAACCATTGGCTTAGTAGCATTAAGAATTAATATGTCTATTTCTCTAAAGGAAATATACTTAACATACTTAACCCTAAATATGTTTCAGATAATAAAAAATTAGGATCCCCCAACAATTTAGCATAATAGAGAACCCTTAAACAAAAAGGGTGTCAAGAACTATTTTTCAAAAAAAAAAGCATTATAGAGGGCCCTATTACTAATCAGCGTCCAACAGTACACATGATCACAAAACCATCAAGAAAAGTTCAAACAGCGGACAAACAAACACTCACCTTGTTACTTGTTCTATTTTCCTATACACTTGGAACGGTAACAGTAACACTGTAACACTATAGATTTCACGTCACTTAACATGTTGAAAAAACAAAACACAACAAAAAACATCATGCGCTAGATAAATTGTCTTGCACAAAGCAACAAACCTGTATCGTAGGGTGTTCAACTGCGTATATTGTGGTAGTTTCCCATTAAAATATCCTGGTGTAGTGTGAGTTGCTGCTTGGATAGATTTTGAACTCATTGGTAGAACTCCCTGCATAATGATCCAGCCAACATAGCACTCGCATATCTTCTTAGGTCATGCATGGTTATGCCATCAGCCAGTCCTGGCTCCGAACGCCGCCTCCTTCGGCTCGATCGTCTCTCCGTCCCGCGCTTCCTCGCGATCGATCGTTCTCGCCCAAGCATCAGGATGAAGACGAAGATCGTCATGGCGCGGCCCAAGGTGCTGTTCAACGTGCGCTCCAACGCCGATTTCCTGAAGGGGTCGAGGTGGGGAGTGCTGGACCCCGCAGAGGTAGGGGTCCGAACCCGAGTTCGGGGTCGACGATCCGAACGGGTCGACGACCCCTGGTGGGTGCGAACGTGACCCGGTCACTGGCTACCTCTGTAGGGAAGGGCCTTTGGCGCCCGAACGAGGGTCGGTGACGTCGTCGGGTGGTTCGTCGGAGGGGAGAAGCGAAAGTCGGGGACAGGTTCGGTCGGTTCGGCTGCCTGATGAGGCAAGAGTTCTGCGGAAGATTGAGGTCTATACTATAATATATAGAATCTGCGCCTTATAGCTGCTATTTCTACAGGTTTCTATCCTATAGGCTGCTATTGTTTCCCTCCTAAGAGCCGATGTTCCAGGATTTTCTAAATCTTGTGACTTGAATAGCGAACAACTAAAGAGATGCACTGAAATCCCACCTGACTAGCTTCGGATTGTGAGTCCCTTCCAAACATCCACTCTGTCCACTCCCAATCCGTCCATTTGCACTGGAAACCGCCTGGAAAGCCCAGGAAGGACGTCCCAATGATGGCTATACCCAGCTCAGGTTGTCAAACAAAGCACGTGCAAAGGATACCCCTGCTCTGGGTATGTAGGAAGTGGCATTTGGACGGGGGAGTTTCGTCCAGAACCGTTTCTGCTTGAAAAACCCGACTTCCAGGCACAAGACTTCCCCGCAATCGAACTTCCTCTTCTTCGGCCAAACAAAAAGGGAGCCATGAACCGAAGCAATTCTGGAGAGTCCCCAGTTCGGAAGGCTGCTCAGAACTTGCAGAAGAGAAGACACCGCGGCGCCACGTGATGCATCCAACGCGCGAGTGAAAAGAACGCCGCTTTTTCAGACGGAGCAGCGGCTTGGCAGTGATGAAGTCGTTGGGGATGACCTGCTTTTTAAGAGGTGCTTTGGTTTGGATGTCGGTGTTTTATTCGGAAGGGAAAGGACATAGTGAAGGTTTCTGAGGACTTCTTGCAAGTATAGTCATAGTTGATTTTTAGACGTCATTCCCCGCGCTTCGAGATCTAGGGCTAGGGAGTGTCAAATGAGTGATCTGCCCTCTTCTGAGTGCCTATGTCGAAGGAGCTTTCGCCCGTTTTCTGATTCGATGTGAGGGTGTCCTACTTTCTCCTGAACAAACAGACCGGAACGAGCCCAGAAACCGCCTTCCACCAAGGCAAAGGTCATGCTGGTGTCCATGTTCTCATGTGATCTGATGTGGATTTAGAAAAAAGAGGCAACCAGTGGTCCACGACATGGCAACGCGGGTCATCATTTAAGGTGAAGAATCATGAACAGTCAACAATGCAAACGGTTGATCAATGAACGCCCCCCCACCTTAGACGAGTGTAAAGCAACTCTCCAATATTGGGAGCTTTTCTATTGATCAACCGTCTACACTAACATGCACCTTTAAAATGATCAAACTTGAGATCGCAGGGTGAAGTCACACAAAGGCCCGCAAAAGGTCAAAAAACAAAGACCCAAACAACATTCTGAAGGTCCGTGGTTGGTGGCCGCGCCTTCTTGGTTCTCCCCGGCGACTGCGGTGGCGCGGGGCGCGCGGGCACTGGGACGCCCTTGATTCCTGTGAGCTTGGCCAGCTCCATGTTAATGGTCTTCTGGCGATAAGCATCCTGCATGGCTAGGGCTATCTAGGGCACATGTGGGCTATCTATCTACATTCACGGGTTGGGCTAGGCCACGGGTTGAGCAGCAAATGCCAGGGTTCTCTTTGAAGGTGAGGTGTGCCTCAAACACATTGGTTTACATGTTCGGATCGCTCCCCGAGAGAGAGCACCAGCTGGATATAAAGCTCAGTGGCCCAAAAGAAACAATTATCTGGGCAAGAGACCAAACAGTGTTGTTTTTTGAAGTCTAGAGTAGCTCTAAGGTCTTAGAGGTGTAGAAGCAAATGGTCTAGAGAGCCAGAGGTCTTGAGATCCAGAGACATCTAGAGGTCCAGAGTGTTAGAGAAGCATCTTCTCAGGCTGCAGGATCGCTACACTCCGCACCGGGTCCGACTCATCGACCGGGTCGTCCTGCTTCTTCTGGTTTTGCTCCTGCAAGCGCTGCTCCGAGTCCTCCGACTCCGAGGGCGCCTCCTCGTCCTCTTGCAGCGCCAGGATCGGCATGGCGCAAGGACTTCGGGACACGCCGCAGGCGGTCGCGGAGCGTGCGGGGCGGCTGGAAAACCGGACAAGCGAGGACGGGTTGTTCTGTCGGTTTGGACTTGAGTGGTGTATGTGTGATCTATGTGTGTGTTTTGGTTGATTTTAGTTATGGTCTTTGGGGTGTTCCTTTCAGTTAATGCTATTTTATGCTATTTTGATCCATGTTGCAAGATGTTGCAAGTACATTAGATTCCCCAAGGTCCTCATGATGTTAAGTTTGCCACGAATCGTGCTTCCAGTCTCAGTCTGTTTCCAAGACCCAAGTGAGTGGTCTTGTCCTTTGTCTTAGAACCATATCTTTGGGTTCGACACTCGCTAAAGGAGCTGGCAGGCAGTCAAGGCGGATCAAGGCGGCCAAGCGTTGACTGGCCAGTTCCATGTCGGAGTCGCACACCCCAACCACGTCACTCGATCTTCTGGGGCACCCCCAGCATTAGATTCTGGATGATCTTTCACACCCCCAAGCCTGAAGAGGTTTGACAATCCATGTCTGGGGGGACTATTCCCTAGGCCCTAGGGCTCCAACCGTATCCTGAGAAGGTGGTTAGACCCCCCTGGCACCCACCCCAACCACCGTCGAAATGGAGATGGTTGGAGGGCCCTAGGGATTCATCAAGAGATCAAGAGTTTACAGAGTACTCCCTGGTGACTCCTCACAACTGCCTGGTGAGCTCCTTCTTTGCTCTTTCTTAAACTGAACGCTGGGCGCTGAGCCACATTCATCTACCTTCAGGATCCATGGACCTGACCTCTTAACATAGGGAGTCACCACCCTCTACAACAGGGGTTTGGGGCCCCTCAAAAACCCTTGTTTTTGAGGGTCCGTATCTGTCCACCGGTTACAACGTTTGGTGTGTGGAGACTTCCGCTGCATCGTGGGGAACGGGTGGTAAGCCACAGGGGCAAGCCACACGTCCCATCTCTGGTGACTGAAATAGAATCAGAACCCTAGAAACCTCCACACTAATAGATCTTCCAACTATGGAAAGTGTCTTCCAACTATGGCTGGTTCTATGCTGTTCCTTTCGCGCGGAGAGAAATCGGACCCAGAACCGCCAGGGAGGTGTACAGGAAAGAGGTCCCTGACTGCGAGCCATCCGTCCACTTCCACCAAGCCAGCGAAGTAGAACCCTGACGATCCGGCTCGGTGGTGCTCCTTTTAAAGAAAGAGGCGGTGAAGGGTTTTGTATGGTTTTGGTGGTACCAAACAAATCAGGATGAAAGTATATATGCCGATCAATTGAGCCCATTTCAACCATCCCAATGTACGAGTAGGTCAATAGGCCCTTAAATAGACCATGGAGTTGGAACAAATTGCCAACCTGCAGGACCTTCAGGACCTGCGACACGGAATCCCATAAGTGTAACCTTTTATGGGCGTACAGCTACATAGTGACCTCCACTGCATTCACGACCTGGAGAAGCACTCCGTGAGTTCTCAGCCCTACTTCCAGTTCCTCAAAACCTGGGGATTGCCGAATCCGAGCCCAAACAGCAGGGGGTTTGGACCTTCTCCACCAAGTGACGCAGAACCTCTCAGTGCCCCGGTTTCCAGTGCCGGAGGGTGTTGCGGTCCGGGCCCGGCTTCTCGGCTGAGAACACATCCAAGTCAAACCGACCGAAGCCCTCCACTTGGGTCTGGTGAGTCTGGTGCCGTCAAGAGAACTGTCCCAAGAGAGGTCGAATTTTCGAGAACTGTCGGACCCAGAGAACACTGGAAGTAGCCAAGGGCCCTAGACTTCCAAGACCATGTAAAACAATGGTTGACCTGGTTTTTGTAATGTAAAATCCTTATTGATTCGGTATGACCCGCCCATTAATTTCATGGTGGGCCAGGAAGTAGCTAAGGGCCCTTGGGTTCTGTTGGAAAGCTCCGATCCCTTCATCTGCCCACCCACTCGCTTCGTGGTACGTGTCACGAGTCGACTTTCGGTCGGCAGGAGCTCGCCGCAGCGCAGCTCAGGGCCTCTCCTTGTGAAGCGCAGCACTGGTGTGAAGTGGTCGGGTGCAGGTACGGGAAGATGAACCTGGACCTAGAAGGAAGACCAGCTTCCTCCACAAACCGGCAATTTTCAGGTTCCATGTTAAATCTTCCAGGGCACACCAGGACTTGAATATCTATAGCATAAGATGGGAATATCTACCAAAAACATCTCCCTGCTTCGGTACGAATCGACCGGCTGAATAGGGATGATGGAAGATTCCAGAAAGCCTGACCTCCAACCTGTCGTCCCAGGGTCCTCCGTCCGTGACCGGTCCGGAGGACATTTCTCGAACGCCAAGTGATCCATCCTGGTACCCCAACTGATTGTCGTCGTGTCTGGGAAAGACATTCACCACCCAAACCACCAAAGATCCAAACTTGTTTACATGGAGCATCTGTGGAACAGTTGTGGAAGACGCTGGCGGCACCAACGACATTGTTGCAAGAAATATGACGAAATCGTCTATGCGCCCAACGTCATTGACACAGATTCATGAAATGATTTCCCTATTGTCAGGTAATGCCACTGTCTTCACAGTAACCAATGTTTCATGCCTGTGACCTAGACTTTCCAGCATCTAGGTTTGAGAGTGGGTGCCGCAAGCGCAATGACTCTGTTGAACAGAAACAATAACACGGCAAAACAACGTATACACTCCCTCTCTGAAATCATCATGGAAGTGGCTTGGAAGAGACAATGGTCCTGTACAAACACGTCCAGGTGGCTTGCCACTTCCATGATTATTTCAGGGAGTGTATTTCTATATATGTCTAAAGTCTCAGCCTCATTGTTGTACCGTGGCTCACTTTCTCCTCAAAGGGCTCTTAACATGTTTATGTTTTATTAAGATAAACTGCTTGCGGCCCATGCAGGAATCTCTTCGGTCAGCTTGGCCCGACGTCGCCCTAGGTCATTGCCCCCAAGCGATGTTGTTTCTTTCCATGCGTGTTTTCTTTTGCGCCATGTGTATTTTTCCACGTTTCCTCATGGTTGTGCAACAAAACCTGCTCAATAAGTTGCCAAGAGTTCAGTCCAACCAGTGCTTGTTTTTTCGGCACTCTTTGTTTCGGCACTCCATGGCTTTCGCAAATATGGCCGACGAGATGTTTGCCATTGGCCATGGAGTTCCATCGAACCGGTCCGTGTCTGAGAGTCTATTAGCTACATGCTATGTATACCCTGGTTTCGTCCCGTCGACCATGTTAAAAACGGTCTGACGAACGGTGATCCGAGTGAACAGGAGCTTCCTGAACACTTGGGTGGTGCCGAAAACAGTCTTTGGACTTACTTCTAGGGTATATATATACACTACCTGTTCCTGTTCCTATTCTTGTTCGGGTCATGTCCCATGTACTCGAGCAAAGTCGCGTCGAGTCCACATCATGTTCAGGAGCTCGTGGGAATGGTATGGAGCTTGTTGCAATAGTATGCAAGAGTTACTTAGGTCCTAAGGTGTGTAACTCTTCCAGACCATGGATGGGATTCTAGGCATATGTCCGGAAGGTCTGGAGAGAAGCCGTGTCCATCTCGGCACTGGATCGATTGCGTGCCTTTGGCGGCGCCATTGGAGGGGGTCAAGGCAACTAAGACCCTGACCCAGCCGGAACATCCTTGACAAAAGGTTGAATTGTCCACCGAGTGGGGTCCGACTCCACCCAAAAGTTCGGTATAAGATCCCTACATATTAATAGGTTACATGTTTCTAGGTCCCCCCCCAGAAGTGGACCTAAGGGGGTAGGGATGGTTTTTCAGCATCTTTCAGACCCGACCCTTCGCAACCGGTCGAAGCCTTATAGCCCTTTTCGTCGCTGCACCCCATCGATCTGGCGGAACCCCGCTGCGGACTGAGGCTCCTACCGGTCGATGGGCGGCATGCTACGGCGGATCTCATCCGGTGGCAGTGGAATGGACTCCTGCGGGAATGGATCAATCAGTCCATCGATCGGTGAATGATGGTGAATGTCCACCACAATCCACCAATATGCTTGCAGCACATATTCCAAAATCATCCAAGACCTTATATCTTGTTTAAGTTCAATTTGATGGGACACGGTGACATGATGGCACCCAAATCCGTTTCATTTGCTCCCTTTTTTCCATTCCAAAAACCCAAGGGGGTCTTCAGGCCTTCCTTCCTGTTGTGTGTTTTTACCGGAAGGACCCCGTCCTCTCCGACCAGCTCCGACAGACGTGCAAAGATCCAACTCATGAGATTCATCACTACCGTGCAAACGCTCCAAACGGCCCTTGATCCGGATCCCTCATAATCTAAAAATATCTGAATTGGGACCCTTGACTTATGATCGTGGGGTTGTCTGATCTCTGCAGCCATATCTGGGCAGCCCATTCAATCAGGCTCTTGAGGAGACTCCACTACTGAGGGTCTGTTTGTTGTGATCTCGGGTCACCCAAGTCCGGCCTCCTCGAACTGGGCCTCCTGCTTCGCGGCGGCATAGCGCTGAGCACTCACCCGCTGCCTGAGACGGACCGGGGAGACCGCGAAGGTCTGAGAAAGATCCACCAAAACAGCGTCTCAACCCAAACATTCCATGAATATCTATTATCTATTTAAATGTGTCTATTTACATCGACCTCCGTTTGAATTTCAACATGCGTTTTAACCACTCCAATGTAGGTATATATGCCAGTTCCATGGGAGTGTCTGGATAAAATTCTTTGGGCCCGACTTCTTCGCAAGTTTTAAAGCCTCTATAACAAGGGTTTGGGGCCCGGCAAAACCATTGTTTTTGGTAGTCATTTCAACAAAACAGCAGATTGCAAAAATAACGATTACAACCTAAATCAATAATTTCATGCTGGAAAACAACAAAAACTGAACAGATATCCCGTTTGAAATTCATATGGGTACTTGGGTAGCCCAATTTCATACTATAAATCGACGCCCCCCATGTGGGGGTCTCTATAAAATCATGCCCCCCAACTCATGCACACGCTATAGAATCAAAGCCCCTATGTCGTGAAGTGAAAGTTCACGGATATTATATATGAAGTATTCAACACTAAAGACTATATGCTCAAAAGACTCTGATTCTATAGTATTTTCCGATGTGTTTTCGATGAATGTTTCCGACAACATCCGGCAACGTCTTTCCATTTTTATAGAATCATGATCACTATAGATTCGTCTTTCCAGCTTTCAGGTTGTTCCGCTATAGAATCACGATCACTCAATGACCATCAACATGTCTGTCACTAAAAAATCAAAGTCCCCATGTCACCAGTACAAAACTCACGGAAACATAATATATCTCAGGGTTCTATCACTTTAGAATCACAACCCCCAGGTCAACTAGGTCAAATTGCACCCTTGTCGGAAATTTCCCGTGGTATCCCGTGGTCTCCTTTTGGAATGGAGGAACCTGAGTGATTCAATTCTATAGTGCTATAAAATGGTTGCTGGGGAGTACCCAGGTGGCATGATTCCATATAGGAAATTTTTAAGGAGATGAACAGATTAAAATTGAGGGGAACAAAACCAAATAAGTTTGAAAGGATGTTAATTTAATTTGTACATCAAACAAATCATACCCCTGCAAGTCCGAAGTGCAAGTTAAACGAGTACTTTTCAAAAAAAACAAGTTTTACGGGTACCTTTTATTTGTCGGAACCCAAGCCCTTTTTATCCACGCGAGTTCAGCATCACCGCACTAATGGCACATAGAACCTGCAAAAATGCACCCAATTGTTTAATTCATGCAAACAAATCAACTGTCAGATAACGTCAAACATTGCAAAATTTAAAAACCCTGGTCACGATTTCCTTACATTTTGCAAACATTAGGGGACTAAGGACCTGTTACGCTCCAGTTACGCTCCTGTTACGGTTTTGGAAGATCATTTGCAGTCTTAGAAGTCTCCTGGAGGGGGTTGTTACGGAATTGTTACGCTCCTGTTACGCTAAATAGTTGGCCAACAATTCAGGCCTGTTTGCTCTTAATGTCGAATAATCAGCCTCAAAACCACCAAGAACACCTGGATTATCACTCAAATTCGCCTTTGATTACCTGAAGAGATCATGAACACTATCTTTTGTTTTAACGGAACTTTAGTGGGACCAAGTAAAACTAGGTTCTAATAAAGTAATTCTATATGAACAAGTTTGACGAAGTCATTGACTTAGAGGGTACTATTAATTTTCTAAACCTAAGGAGATGAACATTAATGGGTTGGATAATGGAGGATATATGAAATAATTTTGCATTTTCTTTATTGGATTCAACAGTATATGAGAAACATGCAAAAACTTGTTATTTACTTCAAGATTCTATTGTTTTTCACCAGATAGCGACAGCTATAGGGCTCTTACTTCAAATAACAATGAGCTGGCTGTGCTTGCTTTAGAGACAGGGGTGCCGGTGCCGGGTGCTGGCTGTGGTGCTGGTGCTGGGTGCTGTGGGCTGGCAGGGCGTGGTGGGTGGCGGTGCTGGGCGCTGGCAGCGCGCATGGTGGAGACAGGGCGCCGGTGCTGGGTGCTGGTGCTGGGTGCTGTGAACTGCCTGCACTGCGCACGTGGTGGAGACAGGGTGCCGGTGCTGGGCGCCGGGACGTGGAGACAGGGCGCCTGTGCCGGGTGCTGGGGCTGCGCGCGTGGAGGGGTGCCGGTGCCGGGTGCTGGCGCTGGGCCCTGTGAGCTGGCTGTCCGCATGGTGGAAACAGGGTGCCGGGTGCTGGCTGTGCGCATGGTGGAAACAGGGTGCCGGACGCTGGCTGTGCGCATGGTGGACAGGGTGCCGGTGCTGGGCGTTGGTGCTGGGGGCTGTGAGCTGGTGTGCCGGCGCTGGCTGCAACCTCTCCTTCGCCAGATGCGTCTTGGCTTCCCATACAAACTGGTGGAAGTGCTCGTAGCTATGCGCATGAACCTCTTCAGTCACACGCGCCGCGGCCAAGCGCCGCAAAAACATCCAGGTCACAAACAACAACCGATACAAGCAGTCCATCTCAGCCCGAAACTGCTCGCCACGTTGACTGGCCTTAGCGCCCGCGGGACTGCTGCTTCGAAAACCGCCGCCTGTTTCAGCGTTGTGCTCCCGTCGACACACTGTATCTTGCCGAGTTAAAGGTTCAGCTGGGGCTGCTGGAGACTCAGGTTTAGCGACCGGAGCTGCTGGAAACTCGTGCGCAAAGCCGGCCTCAGCGGCTGTCCTCTTTGGCCTTGAAGATGATGATGCTGCAGCAGCTTCTTCCTGAGGCGCATTGGGCATGATTGGTGCTGCAGGTGACGGAGAAGTGGCAGATCGAGGCGCAGTCCTGGGCACCCACCCAGAGCCTGGCGCCAGAAAGTCGCATCCCAGTGGCTGTCCGTCGCTGCAAGGATTAGGTCCACTTCCAAGGATGGCGGTGGGCCCTTCCAGCGACAAGTGTGGTCCGGCATGCCATCCAAACGCAATTCTTTCACCACGCGCTCAATGAAAGTAGCAGCAACCACGGACCCTTTGCCGATATCACGCAAGTATGCCACATATACTGTGCCCAGCACTTCTTCACCTGCCTGCGCTCCCATTCGTAGTGCTGCAGCGCTCGCGCACGCTGCCCCTCAGCAGATGCAGCCAGGTTGGCAGAGCCCATGTCCCGTACCGACTGGTTCGGTGTGTTGTGAACACCGATTCGGCCACGCTTCTGGTTGGGATGAGGCCGCAGAACTTGCCATGACTCAGGGTCCTCGCTGTGTAGTCAGCGGTTCCGTGGTATGCGAGGAGCCAGGGGAAGACGTCGAATGTTGGCAGGCCGGCAACGCCGGCTCTGCGGGACCATTGCGTCGGCTGGATGTGGCGGTGGAGTTGGTGTCCGTGAAGGGAGTTGGATTGAAAGACAAGTCCCAACGCGCCCTGGAGTTCAGAGTCTGTGCGCCTCGGTCGGCCCAAAGCTTCCCACAGCGAATTCCAGTAACAGGTTTGGCCTGGAGCACCTTTCTCGCACCGAAATACAACTTGGGCGTCAAAACTGTGCCAAGGCCAATGCGAGCTCGCACTCGATTTCTGTTGACGGCGGGTGAGTGGCGAGAACTTCCACCTTCAGATCATGTAACGTCTGAACACCCGGTCCCCTGTACACTACGCCACTACGCCACATTCGCATGCACATTCCGGTTTTCAAAGCAACTGAATCCACTATAATTGGCCTGTCTCCTCTAACCTTTTTGTTTCTCTCCTTGTGCACGTCCTTTGCCAGCGCTCCCTATAACAAGTGAATCTACGATTAAACTGTCTACACCAACCTGTCTCTTTCTCTCGTCGTTTTCCTTTCTGAACAACCAGTCCCCTCTACACTACGCCACTTTGTCCATGTACATTGCGCTGGTCTCCGCGAACAAGTGAAACAACTATCGAACAAATAGAACTACAGTATGTTATGTTACCAAACAAAACTCTTTGGTCTATGGCCTCCACCTTTCCATGTGACAATCACGCATGAACCCCAGCATGCCCACCAAAATTGCCACTTCCTCCTAACCGTCAACAGGGTTCCCTACCATAAACTTGCAATGGATTAGTTTTGGCTCGCGGCCTACCAGCACAATCCACAACGTCTGCGGCGATCCAGTCTCTGGATCTGACAGGTTGAACACTGGAACTCTTAAGCGACCAGACACCGGCTGGCGCTGGCTGTGCGCGGACTGAATGTTCAGCAGTTTGGGTGTCCTGTTTACAACCAGGCAGCAACCCATGTCATCAAATGAGGGTCACATCTACTTATCTACTTGCTATTGACAGCAGTTGGCGTGTCCTGTCTTGACTTGGCGTTGGTGTTGTCAATGTCTTGGGCACCATCCACACATACCTGGATCCTCCTTTGGGCGGAAAAAAGTGCCGGAACTCAATCCGGCAAAATTTTCGGCCGGATTCCGAAAAAAACGCCGGAGATCTGAAAAAAACATCCGGATCCAAGATTCTGAAAAACAGATGATAAACGGTTGGATCATATAGAAAGCAAACTGCCTTTGCGCCACAAGTAGTTTTTTCTGGAACACACTCATTGAACAACCCAGCACTGGAGCCTTCCCGTTCCCATTGCCCTCGCCCATCTTCCGAATGGCCTAAGAGCAGAACCGTCACAAAATATAAGCAAATTTGTGACCAAGCAAAGACTTCCAAGAAGAAACCACGGAGTATGTGGCAAGGAGCCCCCCCTATTTCTCTGCAACCGTGTCTCTAAATTTTTTTTACAAAGTGGCTCTCCAATGCTCTCCATGATTCTTATGTTTTTAATTTGTTTTTAAAAGCTTGCCTCAGGACGGCCCCGCCAATAAAGTAGCAGAACTCATGGTTCCTGTTGAAACTCTAGTTGAAAAACCAAAAAATACGCCGGAGCTACGGGAAATTACGCCGGAGTTGCGGGAAATTACGCCGGAGTTACGACGTGCAATTTTTTGAGCAACTCTCTGCATAACATTGAGATTCTGCACAACACATGTTCCACATTCCACAGCCCAAAACTTGTCCGGCAGTGTCTGCAAACCTGCGCAACTAGAACTAATTATATCCCAGCGCCCCGACATCCTGAAACAATGGGAGTACATCTTTGCCTATGTTCTTTCAGCTTAGGTACACCCACTTGGGTCTTTCAACACGTGCATCGCACTGTACCAATTTCATCCGATTTCATTTAGAAGATCACCTAAACGGATCTGATTGATCCAATGTGAACCATGCTGAAACCGGTGGAATGAGAAAACAGCGGAACAGGCAAACGCGCACACTTTGCAAGCAAATCATTACCTTCAAAGAAATGCAAGCCACAAAGAATGCAAAGCCTTGAGAATCCACATTTCAAGTGACTTGGAAAAAACTGCCGGACCAAATCCAGAAAAATGCCGGAGTTGGAAGTCCGGCGCCGGACCCTGCAAAAGTGCCGGACTGAAGATCTAGGTATACCACACCCAAAGCAAGTGTCAGCAATATTCCGTTTGAAGAACAATGGTGACCTGGTGGCTTGGATGTTTCCGAACAGTAACTTTGGATGGCAGAAAGAAGCTCTCGCGAACACGTGGTCATGGTTTATTGTGTTCCTCTCAACTTGGATGGTGTTTGTTGTTGCGCTGGTGGCTAGTGTTCTTTTGCACTGTGGCTGCGTTGTAAAATACTTACTGACTCATCATCATATTTCTGCCTTTGAGTGCTGTTGGCCATGCAGGCAACAATGCAACCATGACTTGGGATGACAATCAGAAGCTCTCGCGGAAACCCGCTTTACAGCAGCAAGTGACAGGCCCTTAGAAGCAAGCAAGGGAATTAGGGCACAGAAAGAGGGAGACGAAGGGAGACAAAGCAAAATCATCTCAGTCCAGCATCCAGACATGCCCTGGGAGACAAAGAGAGACAAAGCAAAGTCATCCCAGCCCAGCATCCAGACACGCCGTGGGAGACAAGGGGAGACAAAGCAAAATCATCTCAGCCCAGCATCCAGACACGCCATGGGAGACAAGGAGACAAAGCAA